ACATTTTACATAGATAAATTCCTTCGTAAGGTGTGGGCTGTACTCGTGAGAACAATTTTTTGTATTTCTTTAAGGCATGGGCTTCCAGGTATACCTTCAATTAGTCTACTGGTATCTTTTCCAACCAATCCGAGGGCTCCAACTACAACGGGGATTATTGATGTTCTCATATTTTTGTGTTATTATTATTATACTTGAGTTGTTTCAGCCGAATGATAATGATCACGATTCAGCTCCTACCTGCAGCTTAGAGACCCGACACTTTCTTCAGCACATGAGTTGTTCCAAGTAGTGCTGCCACCTGTGTACTCCCGATGATTTCAGGTATTCCGAGAGCATCTTTTGAAGCCAAAAGATTCATGGAAATTGATTGCACCAACCTCAAAAGAGGCAACTAAGCTTTTATTTGGTATATTTCTCTAAGTTGCCTACTCCGTCTACACGATATTCTTATCCATAATTATCATGGATTCATGCCTGCTCTTATGCATAAGAGTTATATACATAAGAGTTATATCAAGCGCATGTCAATCAGAATGTTCGTGTCCCACAAGAGCATCAATTACTCATTGTTAGCTATTCACGATTGTGAATGTTCGTATTATTTCTCTGCTCCCGAGGCTATACTTCCTGCACAGTTCTCAATGTATTCTGCGATCTACTTTCCCATGGCGTCGTTTGCATTCTTTTTGTTCTAGCTGAGTGAAACCCTTGATAATGCGTTGCACAGTTTCAGCATACAAATTATTATTATCATTATTATTATTATTTCGTTTGATTTCTGGTGTGTACTCATTACTTTCCGGGTCCCGACCAGAGACCTAAGGTCAGAAATGACATTATGACATTTTCCACTGAGCAAGGTTTTTTAAAAGAAAACACACACATATTTTACATAGATAAAGCCCTTCGTAAGGTGTGGGCTGAACTCGTGAAAACAATTTTTGTGTATTTCTTTAAAGCATAGTCTATAAGGAATCCCTTCATTGAGGCTACTGCTATTAATACAATCAACCCAAAGCTTCTATCTACAACTGGAATTGTTGATGTTCTCATGTGCTACATTTTTGAGATTTCGATGTCAAAATCCTTGTAATTCTATTGTTTTTCGAAGATCTTCAAAGATACATTAGAGTCTGCAAGGACTGCTATGTCGATAAAAAGGCACACTTTGTCTTTGTGGTCTCTAATCACGATGTCTGGGCGATTAGGTTTGATTGATTTGTCTGTGTGTTCTATAAAATTCTATAAAAAGTTCTATAAAATTGTTACAGGTCCTATCTCCGTAACCGGATCTGGGTTGTATTCCTACCAATTTCTTGCAGTTTCATTTCCGTAAAAGTTGCCAATTTTCCAGTGCAGATATTGACCTACTCTGTCATGCCGGGTTTTATATTCAGTGGCTGCCAATACCGCGCAACCTGATACAAGATGGTCAATTGTTTCTTAGATATTTATCACAAAATCTGCATTTTGGGCTAACACAATTTTCCAGCATGTGTACTTGGTAATTTCTATTTAGCAAGCATTAGTCCTGTTCAGCAAGAATAAGACCTTCGGTTTTAGTTTTTAACATTGCACTACGTAGCCACTGATGGGTACGGGGACTGTCTACATCAGTTTGTTTGGTACGGGTAGATTATTGACAGTGAAGCGGTTTAACTTGCCATCGTTTCTGTATCTGGTCAAATGCATTTGCCTTTGCTGTCTTTTTAAAGTATTTTACAGCTTCAGTCGGTGTATTGTGCTTTACTAGTGTTTCTTCTTTAGAAAACAATGTTTCAGGCTCTTATCAATAAATGAATAAAATCTTTTTTTTCTAGAGTCGAATGCAAGACCTGCAGACCAAACTGTGCCTACACATAATTAAACAGTTTCTTCTGAAAAAAGGGAAGAATTTCTCACATTGTTATATACCGTACCTATGAACACTAATGGCTATGTTCCAATCCTCATAAATACGTTGGACACTATTGTAAGTGGGGGGTAATATGCTCTTTAAGTAGTCCACCACTAGCAGTGGTTTACCTACTTCACGCCGCTGGCGAGTATTGTATTTTGTTGATTTTATAAAGATTACCATTTCATTTCCAACCTCCGTTTTGGTTATTCCTAATTCAGTAACTGTTATAGTCCAGGTTAGGACCAAGGAAGAACAACACGAACACAAGAGTAGAAATAACGAAGGTATATTACACGAAATAATAATACAAGATATGGGAGGTGTTCGTATGACTGTCAGTCTGGTTTGGAGTGAACTACTATCGACTCGACTCGATTCGTCCCTCTCTCTTGAAAAGCTTAGTATACATAGTGTTAGGAAGAGTTCATTCTGTAGTTATAGGTAAGGACCCATGATAGATAGATAGATAGATAGATAGATAGATAGATAGATAGATAGATAGATAGTGTTATGATCCAGGTTCGGACCAAGGAAGAACAACACGGACACAAGAGTAGAAATAATGAAGGTATATAACACGAAATAATAATACAAGATGTGGAAGGTGTTAGTATGACTGTCAGTCTGGTTTGGAGTGAACTACTATCGGCTCGACTCGATTCGTCCCTCTCTCTTGAGAGGCGTAGTATACATAGTGTTAGGAAGAGTTCATTCTGTAGTTATAGGTAAGGACCCTCCTAGGTTAAAACACACACAGACATTGATTATTTCTGATAGCCGTATAAGGTGAATAAATAATGATTATAACACGTGCAGTTTTTTGCCCTTGCAGACCCCAACTATATGTGCTTGCGAAAAGTAGACAATTTCCATTCATGTATTTTACCCGTTCTACCGAATAAAGTCGAAAGTTTTTATTTATTTATCATTTCTTCATTTTTTCATTTTTAGTCATGATAACCTTTAGTGCGAGAATCAGGGACATTAAAATGTTTGAGTTGCTTGTTATAAAACGATTTTCTCGACTATTTGGTGTTTCCGGGACGAAACGTGTTTATGTTACGTTATAAAGTTTCGTTGTCAAAACTTGGCAGGCGATGACCGGGAAAATCAACGATAATAGAACGTTGTTAATGAAATGTACACCATTACCCATGCGTGCACACACACACATATACACACAAACGCGCGTGCCCGCTCGCACGCACACTCACACACATGAATATACGTATGTGGAAATAGCTAAATAAATAGGGAAACATTTATATTCACGATCTCGCACATATATATATATAAAATGTTCTATATATATATATATATATATATATATATATATATATATATATATATATATATATAAAAAAAGCAAGAACAGCAAGATATATAATCCGGTGTTCTTATAGATATTTTTATTTTTATATTTTACAAATATTTTAAAGTTGTAATTAAAACTGTAGTTAATTAAAATGAATTCTAACCTAAACTTCTTTTAAATTGTAATTAAATAAATAAATAAAGTCTACTAAATCAGAGAAATGAAAATTTTACTTTAGTAATATTTAAATATAAATTTAAAAAAAAATCTTAATATACTTGATGTGATAATTATTCTACAAACTGTAAGGGATTCTAATTACATTTAATTGTTCTTGAAAGAAATATAGTATATTAAAAATTAAAAGTAAAAATATTTCAAATCGTACTTAAATAAAATGAATTCTTACCTAAACAACCCCCCCACAAAAAAAATGTTTAAATATACGAAAGAAAAAAATGCCGTAAGAATTTTAGCCGTTAAACAATATAATTTTAAAAAAATCTAGACGACAGGCTTTTAACGGAAGTTAGATTTCATTGAAAAATACATCCCTTCCCACTACCAAACGTAGCAATAACTGATACATTAAATTATAGACATATTGAACACCTAGACACCCCTGTCTAGAAAAATAGATTTATCTGTAACCTTGGAAACATGAATTTTGTTTTAGCTGTGTATTTAAAACCCAGTAATTTTTAAAAAGTTACTCCAAAATTCGCATATAAATTCATATTTAACAAACGTCTGTGAATATCCTTATAAACATAAAATGAGATATATTTTTAAACAATATATATACGGTGGACTCTCCCGTCGAATTCGATGCATGAGGGTCAAGCAGCTCAGTTCCTAGGAACCGACAGCCTGACACCAGCACATGAGATTTGATTATAGTGGTGAAGGATTTGTGCAGAACCAACCACACTTTTTAAAGGACCGAATACACAGACCTGGTGCACTAAGTGCCGCAGGTTTTGAATTCAGAGGTGTCCTTCTCTTAGATCAGTTGCCATCCAAGGCTATAGAACCCAGTCTGTCCTGCTATTTACCCACAGCTGGAGGGAGAAGAAGATTAATACCTTTCCCAAGGGTATTAGTGAATGTAATGGATGCATGTAATGTAATGAACTCTCTCGCTCTCTCTCTCTCGCTCTCTCTCTCTCTCGCTCTCGCTCTCTCTCGCTCTCTCTCTTTATATATATATATATATATATATATATATATATATATATAGCGAGAGAATATATAGGGGGTCATAAAATAGGAATAATTTCTATCTATCTATCTATCTAAAGATGGGTTTAATATATGTTAATGAATATTAATTAATGCTAATAATATATATATATATATATTAATGAAGCTTAATGAATATTAATTAATGTTAATAATATATATATTAATGAAGCTTTGTATTATTTATGTATGCGCAGGAAAAATCTGAATTAACAAATCTTAAATACATCGACTGATTGATTCATTTTTACGGCTTATCAACCATTTGCAGGGTATTCAAAGCCAGAAAATATTTTTAGATTGTAAGAGTGTTTTGGTGGAGATAATAATGATTTAGTGATACAAGTCTTACTAACTGACCGATGACTAGGGGGATAGGGGTGTATTCATACGTTTCCCAAGGGTATTTGCGTGTAAGTGAATATAACGGATCCAACTAAAATTGGAACTCGGCTCTGCGATTGACAATTCCGAGCCATTATCCATTACACCACCGCACATACAAGCTTACAGTACATCCAAACTTACAGCATATTTAAGCTTACAGCACATGGCATTCCTAAATGGTCACCCATTTAGGTAGTGACCAGGCTCGACGTTGATTAACTTCGGTGATCGTACGGGAACCGGTGTTTCAACGTGATGCGGCCGTAAGCCCTCGTATATGTCAAGTTACATGGACACACACACGCGCAGAGAGAGAGTGAGAGTGAGAGAGAGAGAGAGAGAAAGAGAGAGGGGCATTCACACACAAACATTCGCACATATTAGTGAGCCAATCCTTTCTATGCTTCCCTCTGTGTTGAATTTGTATCATTTGACTTACTCAACATGCGCGCAATCAGATACCTTGTTTTTTTTTTTTGTAATCGAGCGGGATATGAAACCGTTTGGTCTGTTCGGATCCCTTCTCTGATGTCCTATTTGGTCATTTCAAACCATGACACAAGTGCATTTGCGCAGGTATACTCAAAATCTTCTTCAATATACACATTCCAGCAGATATAGACAAATATAGTAACAGAATGAAAACAACTGGTTGTCAACAGTTAATTAAAAATCAAAATGTCTGTATTATTTTCTTAAATTTTCTATATTTATTAACGCCAGCCTTTCGCTTCTAATTGTATGCATACAGAACAAGAAAATATTTATTGTCAATTTTTGAAAATAACATTTACTTGTCATATAATAATAGCGTTAAGTTGGTTGTGGGGTGGGGGTCATTTTAACATGGAAAACACATTCTTGAGTTCCAGGAGACAATCTGATACTATTTTGGATTTGTCTCGATGCGTTGTTCTGCTGGAAATGACCACCATAGGATGGGTGCATCGTAGTCATAAATTGAGGCACTATACTTAGGTAGACTGCGGCATCTAAAAGGTCTTTTATAGGTACCAAGGGTCTCAACGTATACTAAGAAAATATTCTCTATTCCATGATAAGACCACGAAAAAAATCATCCTGAACCATCGATAAAAGGCAGGCGGAATCCATACTTTCATGTTGTTTACGCTAATTTCTGGTCCTATCATCGAAATGTCGCTGAAGAAATTGAGATTCATCAGACCAGGTAACGTTTTTCCAATCTTCTATGGTCTAATTTTTGTGATCCTTAGAGAATTCTAATCTCGGTTTCTTACTCTGACATGAGTGGCACAAGGTATGGTCTTCTGCTGCTGTAGCTAATCTGATTCAAGGTTCGATGTGTTGTGCGTTAATAGTTGCTCATCTGCGCTCCACCTTTGCAAAGAGTGGTTATTTGAGCTACAGTTTCCTTTCCTTCAGCTACAACCAATTTCTTCATTCTTGTCCGACATCTTTCATCAACAAGGTATTTCCGCACACAGAATTGCTATTCACAGGATTTATTTTCTCAGGACCATTCTCTATAAACCCTAGAAATGGTTGTGATTGAAAATTCTAATAGATCAGGAGCTTTGAAATACACAGACCCGCCCTTTTCGCACTAACGACCATGACACGTTCAAAGACTCTTAAATTACGTTTCCTTTCCATACCAATGCATAAAATGAAATACAGTAGGTCGTAATGACCGTGTTTAAAATGCCTATATCCATTAAAATGCCGCCACATGATTGGTTGATCAGAAATTTGCATTTGTACATGTGTACTTAATTAAATGGGCAATGGGTATATATATATATATATATATATATATATATATATATATATATATATATATATATATATATATCAGTCAGTTATGTTTCATGCGTGATACACGCTTAGGCGATCATGTACCTTTTTGATACATGACTGACGAGACAGATTTTTTCTCGCATTAGGTTGCCATTTCTTTCTGTGGTAGACCATTTGCTATAAAACCCGGTCTATCCTGCAATTTATCAATAGCTGCAGGAAGAAGAAGAGGATTCATACCTTTCCCAAGGGTATAGTGTACGTAAGTGAAATGGATTCGAATGTAATTCGAACTCGGCTCGGATTCCCCAATCCGAGCCGCTATCCATTACTCCACCGTATTAACAGTATAGACATTGATATCAACACTACATAGTGACTGGCATTTTAGCCCCTTGAGCGATGAGCAGACATTATATATATATATATATATATATATATATATATATATATATATATATATATATATATATATATATATATATATATATATGTGTGTGTGTGTGTGTGTGTGTGTGTGTGTATGTGTGCAATTCGTTAATCCATCAGATTTTTATTACATAAACGTTATTTTTAGTGGATAATCATTTTCTAATGAGATTTTTCGAATATTTAGGCGCTGGTAGACGAAAGTAAAAAAAAAAGTTAATAAATAAACGAGGCGACTACTCAAACACAAGTATCCTCTAAAAATAAGGTTTAAGGGATTTTTTTTTGTTTGCTACGGGAGAAAGTGGGGGTCCTCTTCCTTTTTTCTGTCATGTGGAAAAAACTATTGGGACAGTTACCGTTTGGAACCTTTTGGTGTAAGACTACAATTCCTCTTTTATACTGGGACACTAAATATATATGCGCGGTTTAAATACCAATTTTATATAACAAATTTACTGAAAATGCATTTTAGGTATGTCATAATTTTTCCATCAGAAAATTACCATGAATTACTGGAATCTATTTTGTTTTTCTTTTAGGCCACTGACTTTATTTATTTACTTATAAAAAATACCTCGACTTTTGTCGTAGTTACTCATTTGCTCATTTTACCGTGACGTACGTGAATAATGAATATAGACATTTCTAAGTTATGCATTCCACTTTTTTCTCACCTTGATGTAAGAAATTATGTGGGACTATTTCTCAGGACTAAGAAACCATTTTATTGTCATTATAAACAGTTACGGTACAAGTTCTGAGCTCTTTTCTCCTCCGTAGGCGATTAATTCATTTAGTTGTTATATAAATGAATACTGAAAGACTCACAGAATTAGTAACATTATTTGTCTGTTGATTATCAACAAGTATGCTTTTCGGAGTTAAATTTTAAAATTAGCGGATGAAGAAGTGTTTATTTTATTTCATCCTTCTAATGTTTGCATTCCCTTTAAAAGAATAAGAAAAAAGCACAATCATTCATATATATATATATATATATATATATATATATATATATATAAAATATGTATAGATAGATAGATAGATAGATAGATAGATGATCGCCTAAGCGTGTATCACGCATGGCACATAACTGAGTGATATATATATCACGGGAATATATATATATATATATATATATATATATATATATATATATATGTATCTTTTTTTTCCTGCAGTAGTTTGCCATTTCTTTCTGCGGTAGACCAGTTGCCATCCAAGGCTACAGAACCTGGTCTGTCCTGCTATTTACCCATAGCTGAGGGGGATGAGGAGGAGTCATACCTTTCCTAAAGGTATTAGTATCTTGATGAATGCAATATATATATATATATATATATATATATATATATATATATATATATATGATTCATTAAAAGACGACCGACAAGGTACTGTGATTAAGATTTTTATTTAATTTTTCTTGTGTTTGTAGAAGTGTTTTCTTTTCTGGACACAAAGTGTTTAAAAACTGACCAAAAATTCTGAGCGCTTTCGGCTATTTTTTTAACCATTATCTAAGATGAGTTTTATTTTTTATTTTGAACTGAATGTGTGTGAGCTTTTTTTTATGTATGTATCTAAAGTTATAGGAATGTTTTAGTTTCCAAATACGGTTAGCACGTTATGGCTATGTTCATATTTAATGTTATTGATTATGTCATTTTCCTTTTTTATTATGAATAAATTATTATTTTTTATCTTTTTTTGTACATGTGCATGAGACTATTCTGCTTGTATTTTCTACTTGTATGTTGCAGATAAAGTTCGGTAGGCTTCCCTGTGTGTTCAAATGAGTCTCAGTTGAGCTATAGAAAAAACTCACACATTCATTTAAAGATAAAAAATAAAAATCGTCCTTGATAATGGCTAAAGAACAGCCGAAACGGCTCGGTTATGCATAACTTTTGGGCAGTTTTACACCATTTGTGTTCAGAAAAGAAAAAAAAACACTTATACGAACACAAGAAAAATTAAATAAAAAAGCTTATTCTCAGTACTTTCTCAGTCATCTTTAACGAAACTTGTATAAAAGAGGGATTGCTGGCCAAATACACAATTTATATATATATACATACATATATATATATATATATATATATATATATATATATGTGTGTGTGTGTGTGTGTGTGTGTGTGTATATATATATATATATATATATATATATTCTCATATGAGGCTCGTGTAAATCAATGCGTTCTTTAAGATGTGCGACACAGTGTATACACATTCCATTACATGCATAGGAAAATTACATACGATAATTTTCCCACCCTCGACACATCTATCTACATTTGCATTGCTATTCAAAACCCGTTAAGAGTAAGATTCAGCGGGGGGAAAAGATATGAGAAAAAGTACGACAGAAAAGCACAGTTGGCCAGATGGACTTGTAGCGTGAGCAGATACATGAATGAAGTAGGACCCTGCAGTAAAAAAAAAATGTAATTCAGAAGGAGGAGTAGGAGAAAGAGATGGAGAAGGAAAAATGTGTATGTGAATAGAAGGAGGGGTGGGACTCTCGTAGTCAGAGGCGGAGGAAGATAAGTAGCGGGAGTGTGCTATGAACTATTTTATGAATGGTATTTCTGTTCGTGTGAAAGCTCAGTCCTTGTTTTCGCAAAATGACGAGTAACGTTCATTGTTGGTATTCGTTGGTTGTCTGTCTTCGTTTAGTTTGATTCTTCGCCACCAGGCGTTCGTTTTCTGCATTAGTGTAGATTGGGAGGGCGTATGCTGAAAATATTTAAAATATATTCGTCGTCTCGTGGAATTTTAAAGAGACACTTCTTTCCGTTCTTGTACTCTTTGCCAAATACATTCCTACAAAAATCCGTACGCTCCATCTGAACACACACACACACATATCTCATCTCTCTCTCTCTCTCTCTCTATATATATATATATATATATATATATATATAAATTTTAAAAAATAAGTTCCTTCAGGACGTAAGCGTTCTTGGCTTTCCACATATTCTTTTTCTTTATTATCTGTCAATTGTCCTAACTTTTTGGGGAAAGATAGTGGAAAGTTTTATCGCTGCCT